CAAATTGTATGAATGCTACTAAATCAAAGGAGAACAACACTTTTCTCAACCGTAATCCCAAAAGAGTCCTTCACTGTCATCACACATCGATGGCATGCAAATGGGAGGATGAGAAATAATTTGATGTAATCTTTTTTATTCTGATTTTGATGTGTTATGAGAACAAAAATTACCCACTAAGAAGGATTAATTGTAACTTTCAATTTGCTTCATTTAGTAAATCATAAAGTTTTTGTTATAGTTGTAGTATTTCTTCAAGTAGATCTCAATTTCAGTCTACTGTTTGGGCAAACTTTATTGTGTGTTTTGTGGCTTTATGATTGATGCTTCCTGATTTAGCATGTATGGTTTAGACAAGGCCACTACAAGTAAATTTATTACTCCACAAGTTATGATTTAGGACTTTTATGTAATTATTATCCATAATATTGTATTGGAGACTGAACTTATACACTGGTGACTGATATATCAGAGTACAGACCGGATTCGGTGATGCGGTCCCCTGCTGATCGCTTCTCAAAGGTGCAGCGGAAAAGATTAATTTGGGGGGTTTTCGGGAGATGATAGATTAAGGGTGGTAGTAGAAACGAAACAATAAACTCTACTAAATGCGTGTACAGAAACGTACGCTTAATTCTCTCAAATTCTTGAACATTTATATTTTCACAACAGTTCTTTCAGGGGTTCTGACTAAATTGAAATGATACAGAAAAGTTAACACATGGCCCTTGCGCAAAGATGATCCGACGTAAAAAAAACATTTCCATCACCCGATATTTTCTTTACATTACAAGAATGAGACGGCTGATAGGTTGTGGATTCCAGCTGAAAGAAAAAGAAAAGTTTTCTCCCCTCCGCCCCCGAACAATTACTATTGTTAATGTGATTATTATTGTTGTTTTGGATCGGAGGCTTCATAGACGTTGCTTCTTATCTTTCCTAAAGACTTTTTAAAATATTTTCTGTAGTTATTATTACTCAATGATGACGAAAACCGCGAGAACGAGTCAACACTACAAAATGTTGGACCAAAAAATGAGTTTCTTTGATCTAAATCATCAACCAAGTGTCTTCACACCTAGAAGATTTGTCTATTTTAGTATATATTCCTTTCATTAATTATTCGTTTGTGTATCCATTTAATCCAAGTTGAAGTAATTCTTGCGAATATTCAACCAATACTACTCATTTAGCTTGTTGCTACTGACATTTTATATAAAGAAATTAGTTATCGAGAGAGTTGATAAGACACCAGTATTCAACTAACAAAACTTCATACTCTCTAGATCTGTCCCAAAATTTTTGTCTAATTTGAAATTTCACTTTTAGTATAATTTGAACTAGAAATGAAAATTTAAACTGGACAATAATTATGGAACAGTAAAGTATTTTTTATAACTTTATTCAATAATTATGATCATTAGCAAGACACTTGACCATTCCCCAATCATTGCTCAAAAGTCAAATTAAAGGAATCAATCTCTAGTTGGGTTTAATTTGTCTAACTCATCAGTCTGACTTTTGATACATTGCCCTTCAGAATGTCAATAGTTAAGCGGTAGCGTACTATTTTCAGCAAATTACGTATTCTGCATATCATAAGGTTATTTACTAACTTGGAAATTACTTTCTTCTTTAATTAATAGAACTGGGAGCAGGCTTTCAGCATCACTCGTCCACGTAGATTCCGTGGGTCACTTTTAAATTTGATTAAGAGCTACAAAAGTAATATTACTTGCATCATCCTCTCAACTTTATAAATGTGGAGTCTATGCGGATAATCTCAAGAACAAATTCGTCTCACTCCCAAAGTCATACATTAACAAGCGTGTATGTATCTTTTTTTGTTTCGTTTTTTTTTTCTTTGTTTTTTTTGGTAAAATATGTATTATATATTAAAAGACATTTTTTCAATTTACACGTGTCGCTCAATTAGATAATTCAATATCTTCTTTGTCACATGTCTAGTTCAGAGTTTTGTCTTGACACATATCAATATCAGAGACTCCCTTTCATTGACGTGTTAAAATTTTTTATAAATTGGTTATTTCCGTTTATTATAACCAATACGTTTCACCCATCTTTATTACATGCCATATATATTTTATTATCTACTTAATTAATAATGGAAAATCCATGCGTTCCATTACTAAATATTTTTAGCTTTTTTTATTGGTTGATAAGAATGATTTTTTATATATATTTTTAAGCAGGGTTCACAGTGGCGGAATTTTTTTTATAAAATTCGTAAAATTAATTTCAATAGATGAAAAGTCATAAAATATGTTTTTTTTTAACGCAGAAAGAAAGAGAAACAGATGAGCTGTGAGTAGAAAGGCACAAAATATATATATATATATATATAAAACTATAGATCCTTACATTTGTTTTACCTTTTCGCGTTCGCTAAAACTTTCATTTGAGTTTATTAAACTTATTTGTAAAAAGTTAAAAAATTACAATCCTAACTTATTATTAATTTTATCTTTAAAAATATACACTATCTTGAATATGAAGTATAAAAAAAGATAAATGTACTTTACACAGCAAAACAAGAACAAGAATGATTATATCACAAAAATCAACACAGAGTTTATCATATTACAACGATAACACTCAGGTCACACGTGATCATAATTTTACCATTTTAAACAATATATGTAACATAATCCGTACAACACTCAGGGATAATTCTAATATAAATATACAACTAATTACTGCAAAAGTACCAAAAAGTTGCACTTTGTCTTCATTTGATACCAAATATTTAAAAATAGACCACGCGCCACTGCAAAATTAAATAGTGTCCCCTTTTGCTTTTCCGTTAGGTTTCCGGCCAAAAAGTAACGGTCAACGTCTTACTCACGTGAAAGGCTCGTGGATTAACCGAAGGATATTTTCGTGTTTTCATAATATTGAGGGTCTGCGTGGTCATGTGACCTTCACATGACTTATCCCGCCATTTACGTTTAGGCAGGAAATAAATTTTAAATTTTAAAATTTAAATTTTAAATTTTAAATTTTAAAATTCAAATTTTAAAAATAAAAAAATGTCAATAAAATATGTTTTTATTTTCTTTTATAATTTTTTTTCCGGTTTCTTTTTTGTGACTTCGTTATGGACTTTAGACTTGGAGTTTGGCCCAAGTTAACTTCGGGCTGAACCTGCAAAACAAAACTAATCATAAAAACCCAAGTTAATCCAAAAATCTAAAAACCCAAATGCGGGGTTCTACAAAAGTGGAAAACACCACAAAACAAATTCATTCCTCCTCCTTTTGTTGCCGTCGTCCATCGCGCTTAACCGCCACCACCGACAATCATTCCTTTGTTCCTCTCTGTCTCCCTCCTTCTCAAATCTATCCAGAATCCTCTCTCTTTACATTTGATTTTTGTCAATCTTGACCTGGCCTTTCTTTCGTCATTTTTCGTTTCAGCGGGGAGGGAGGAAGAAATTGGAGCTTGGAGGGAGATTAGGGTTAATAGAAAGCAGAGATCTACGGGGTTTTCTTTTGGGTAGGGTCGTACAAAACCATAAATTGACTCGATGTGAGGGAATTAGGGTTTGAATTCGTGTAAGTTTTGAATTTCAGAATTAGGGTTTCTATATTTCAACCCATTCACCTCTTTCAAAAGGTCAACCTCCCATTCACCTCTTCCAGTCAGTCCTTCTACCAAAATTTTCAAAACCAGAGATGAATAGAAGTCCAATTCGGCCAGTCCCGCCGCATTTTGTATGTTTTTGTGGTTTATCAGCTAACATCCGCACGTCTAAAACTCAAAATAATCCAGGGAGGAGATTTTTTGGCTTTCCATTGTACGATATTGGGGGTGAGCATGATTTTTTTTACCTGGGTTGATTATGAAGTTTGTGATAGATGCATCCATCTATTACCTGGGTATTGTAGAGCCCTGTTGGAGAGGAAGGAACATATTGCTGCTAAAGAGGAATTGTTGGAAGAGAAAGAGTATCTAATGTTGAAGAAAGACGAAGAATCAGTAGAGAAGGCTCAAGAAATTGCTGCTGCAAAGAAAAAGATTAATATGTTGTCGTATATCCTTGTTTTGACGTGGGTATGGTTCCTTATATTTTCTTAAATATGTTTCTGTTATGGCCGTGCGGGATAAATTATGTACTGGTTGTTGAAATGCTAATATGGTTGAGTGTAATGTTGTAATAACTTTGTTTCATGTATGAGTGTGTTGTAATAGTTGTGTTTGTATGGGTAGTAGTCAATTTCCCTTAGTAGCAGTTTTAGTATCAATGCAATTTTAGTTTAAAAACTGAGTTCCCGGTTGGAATTTAAAGCTTTTTACCTGAATGTGATCTTGGTGGAATTTTTGTTCAAGGGAGGGGATATGATGATATTAGTGGGTGATGATCATTTGGTTGGTACATGGATCTGCAAAAAAATATTCAGGTTTCTTTCTTGCCTGTATGAATCTGCAAAAGGAAAAAAAAATACCTTTCCCAGGGAAGAAAAAAGCGTGTATGAATTAGTATAAGTGTCAATCAAGTCCTGTTTAAGGTTCGTGGGTCGAGTTCGACACAAAGATAATTTTAATATACTAACACGAACACGACCAGGTTCAAGGTTCGAGTTTCAGACGAACACGAATTGGACAATTTACTAACAAAAACACGATCCATTTCATTATACGGGTCAATTTTTTGTGTCGTTTCATATCGAAGATTGACACCCCTAATGAATCTACAAAAATAAAATGGCTCCTTAGGAAAAATAAAGCTCAAAAATTAGAGACTTAATCTGTAACGTATCCCAGAGACTCCTATATGTGTTACCTAAATCCGAAATAAAACGACGAAAAGCACAAGAATTAGAAGCAAAATTTGATGGTACGCTCACCATCGACATAATTACCATTACCGATTCATAGTATGCAAGTTCAAACCTATCTATTACATTTTAGATAGCTTCTTGCAATCTACAAATGCAAAATGCTGAAATCCAGAAATTCAAAATAACAAACTGGGCAGGCTACTTGACATTCCTTTTAGCTTTGGAAATTGGATGACTTGGTGGATTTGTGTTTGGTTGTTGTAAAATAGGCTCCTGAGACAAAATTCCAGAGGTACATGAATTGAAACGACCATATTACTTCATCAATGGTTAACCCTAATTTTAGACCAACGTCAAAAATTCAGACCATTTTTACCTTTGCTAGAATGTTCTCCGATGATGGTTGTTCCTGCTCAGCTGCCAGAATATTCCTCTGCAAATTAGTGGCAGGTGTGAAGACAACCAATAAATATTCAGTCCTTACATTAACACAATTTCATATGCAAATGTATTGAAACTACTATATTATTGTTTAACATTGCGAAAAAACTAAACTTCAGACAATTTTTACCTTTGCCTGAATGTTCTGCGATGATGCTTTTTTCTTCACAACTATCAGATTATCCAGCTACCACATAAGTAGTTTCAGAGGTAAGATCAACCAATAAATCTCCAGTCATTATAGTAATACATAATAAATACTATAGAATTGTCAGGTGATATACCTCAAGCTCAGGGCAATCTACTGGTGTACGTGCAAACTTCTTGCAATATGAACATTGTGTATCGAGTATGCGACAATTATCATCATTGTGATCATTGCGTCTACATGTAATCATCATCATCAGTGTACCCAGATGGTTCAAGGGCATCTGGTGCTCCAGGGGTGCAAAATATCTGAAATGCCACCCTCACCATATAAATATAACAGTTAACTGACATATATCCATAAAGCAAAACATGCATGAAACTTACCTCATTAGGCTTACAACAACGCATCTGCCCTTTAGCTTTTAGTACCACACAACTCTCAGTAGTGTGGTTTCCATATCTACAAAGATCATACCAGAAATTAATTCCCACATTAGGGCGTAGGCCTCTTTGGATTTCTCTTTTATTTTCAGAATTGCTGCCTATCTCAGAACCATCATTGTGGTTTCTTTTCGCATTCACATTCTCAGCATTTTCCATCTATACACAAAATACATCAGTCAATCCAACATAAACCCAAGTATGGAACAGTAAAACAAACACTAGTAAAAAATTAGTGATACCTGTATTAAATCCTCATCTATCAAGAAATGTTGATTCGTTCTTGTTTTTCTCCCAATCCTCCGTCTCTTGGGTTGAGCCAGCAATATGGCTACGTTAAATACACATCCAAGCTAACCCAAATGATAGCATATATACACTTCAAACGAAAACCAACTCAACTTGCAATATTACAAACGTACCTTAGTCTTTTGATCACTGCCAGACGCATCACTATCAATCGGCTTCCTTAGTTTTTTCAGGATGGCTTCATCAGGTTGGTTCTTCTCTTTGTTTTTTACAACTCTTCCTTCAGTAGCTGGCTTCTTCCCTTTGATTTTTTCAGCCCTTCCTTCGGTTTGGGCAGCTGGCTTTTTCCCTTTGTTTTTCTCAGCACTTTGTCTATTTTCAGCAGTTTGGTTCTTGTCTAGGTTTTTTTTCAACCCTTTCTCTGGTTTCGGCAGCTTGGTTCTTCTCTGTGTTATTGGCAGCCCTTTCTCCGGCTTTTGTAGAATTAGGATTTTTCTCCTTGTTTTTTTTAGCCATATCTTCAGCTTCCAGAGTCAACATAAACTAATGAATCTGCAAAAAAGAGATATATTACATGCGGCAACTGTTGCATATAATTACAAAAATAAAAAAAATAAAATAAATATTACCTCGTCCTCATCTTGTGCCAAGATAGGACAACTATCTTCTTTATGTCCTGGTTTATGACAATATGTACACTCCCAGGGCCTCAGAGCAGCTCGCTCTTCTGCTAACTGTTTTCGCTTTAGTAGATCCTGGCATATTGATGCATAATGGCATGTTTTCTTGCAGAACTTACAAAATGAGTTCTGATTGGGTTTCCTTCCTCTCCTCTGTGGTTGAATGTCCACTGTTGCATTCTGGTTTACCTAACAAAATTAGTAGCAGGTAAATAAACTTGCCATTACAGGTCAATTAATGCACATAAAGAAATTATACCATGATTCAAAAATAATAACTTGTCTTACATTTTCAGTTTCAGTGTTTTTCCTCTTTGGTCTACCCATTTTTTTGGGTTTACGTGGAATAACATACTCCCCTCCATCCTGCAAGAGTAAATCAGAAGTAAATAATTCAGTCATTGATATCTGTTTATAAGGGGTTTCCAACCTTGTAAATAGAAAAAAAAAGGAGATTGAAAAATAAGAAATCAAACCTGGGCATTCGTAACATCTCTCAAATCAGGGCAAGTTCTCACACTATGGCCCTGTCGGTTACATTCTCCACAGTGGTTCACTCCTCTTCCACTCTTCCTACATGCCTTTAAGGCCCCATTCTTGTTTCTCTTGCGAGGGGCATCGCCATTTTTCTTATTTCTGCTCCCTTTAGGCCTTCCAATTGGAATTGTGTAATGAGGTGGCTGAAGGGGTGATTCACCAACTTTTTTCCAAAATCTTTTCCCATTGGTAGGGTGAATCACGGGGGCATAAGCAGCCATGTAACTTTCCTTGTTGTAGTACTCATCAACATAGGCATCTACATCAAGTTCATTATCAAAAATTGCCCGAATTGCATGAGGGCAAGGGATACCTGTGAGCTGCCATTTCTTACATGGACACGTCTTCAATTCAAGATTGACCACCACTTGGTCATTATCAGGAGTCGTAACTTGAAATTCAGGCCCACCTGCATGTAGGCATGAGTAGCTAGCAGATTTTTCTGAATACATCTCTAATCTTTTCCTAATTTTAGAACCAAACGCTTCATCTGTTTTTTTCAGCTTGTCTATCTTCTGGTAATGTCTCTTTGTGAGGTACACACGAATCCACTCCAACATTCCAATGATGGAATATTCCCTCGCACTTCGTCATTTCCCTGAAGAAAGCCCTACACCAGAACCTATATGGTTCATTCTTCAATCATTTTGCAGCTTCAGGATAATCTTTTTCTAGCTTCTCCATCAATTCTACATGATGTTCAACAAAAGTGGCTTCTGCAATCTCCCAATTTTTTTGCTTCAGCAGAAGTCTGGGATTCTCTTGCTTAAAATTTGTCCACGGATGCTGGACACAATGCCTATGTGAAACTTTATCCAATATTTTTGTCACAGCTGGACAAAGGCCCTTCAACAAACCAAACAAGAAGACGACAAAATACAAACTTGTCAACTACAGAATAATTTAAACAAAAATCAAATTATAAAAAAAAAACGTGTTTACCTTCTGTCTATCTGACATGATGACCCAATCAGGAGAGTCTTCTATTTCCAAATCTTTGATCAAAAAGTCCAGAAACCATCCCCAACTATCCTTGTTCTCTGAATCAACCACTCCAAATGCCACTGGAAAGATGTTGTTATTTGCATCAAAACCAACAGCTGTCAGTAGAATTCCTTTACTGGTGTCTTAAAAAGGTTCCATCAATGCCGAAAATTTTTCAGCAACCCTCTTTGAAACCTTTCTTTGAAGCTGCAAAGGCAAGATACAGCCCTTTGAATCTGTTTTCACCTGGCTCACATAACAACTCCATGGTTGTCCTGGGGTTTGTCCTTCTAATCTCTGCAATATACTCAGGCAGTCGGACATACTCTTCATCAATTTTTCCTCTGATTTTTTCCACAGCCTTGTTCTTTGCCTTCCAGGCTTGCGTTCTAGAAATAGACACCTTCTTCTCATTCAATGCCCTAAAGCATATAGTTCTCACACTCATTTGTAAGTCATGCGCAATGTCCGGAAGAAACCATTCAGCCACAATGGAAGAGTTCACATTCTTGCTGCTCCATGCCCTTCCACGTGTATTTATCATTAATGGTCCTAATCTCAAATGTTCCCCCACCATCCACTTTGACTCCACTTACAATCCACTTACATTTTTTAACTTTACAATAACCCCTAACAAACTCCAAATCATTCTTCATGAAACTAATATTCCTTCTATCAATAATAGCATGCTGTCTAAGTGCCCTCAAACAACACCCACTTAGATGAGAATTTTTTTATTGAGTTCAAAAGTGGGATTATGCATTTCTAAGTGAGGCTTGAACTCCCTTGTTTCTTAACCCTCTGTCCTTCATCATCCGAATCATGAATTGAGCCCCCCTACTGAGCAAGAACCACAATCATCTTCAGAATCATCTATTACTCCATCATCTAATTCATAAGGCACAAATTCTGTTGGCTTTTGCAATGTACTCCAACCCGATGCTCTCACAGAATCAACAGCAAAATTAATCAATCCATTCTCCTAATCAGAATCATTCCCATCAGATTCTTCTACTCTATCTTATGCTGCAATTGGATTTTCGCCACCAGGGTTGGGCTTATCAAAAGGTAAGGTATCAAGTTCATGGATCCCAATCCAATAAAGTATAAGAACTGGGTTGTCAGTTGAAAGTAGGCGAATGAGGTATACCAAATCTTCATCTCCAACTAACCTCCTCATACCAGAATGTTCTTTCACACTCAAGTCCCTGAAATAAATCTTATGAGGCCCACAATATCCTAAACGCTCTATGAAAAACTCAACTTCTTCAATAGAAATACTCCCAGATTCAACATGGTCAAAATAATCAACCTGACCCTGAATATAAAGTAATATACCATTCCTCCTCACAAAACCCCCACCATGATAAATTTTTACTGTAAGTTTTGAAGACCCGACACCTAAACATTTACAGAAAACAATTACTAACAATATTATATACAAAATTTAAACTTTACTATATAAAAAATCCAAGTTACAACAATAAACATAAAATATGAATGTTGAAGGTCCCAAAACCTAAAATAATACTAATTAAAATAAAATAATCCACCTAAAGTATACATTGAAAATTGGCAAAACGTTAGGGTTATCAAAACCCTAGAATAATATTAATTAAATCAGCTCTTTCTAAAATATTATTTACAGATCGAATAAAGAACACATGCCAACTAAAAATTTGGATATTATGGTTTAAGGCAAATCGATTGACTTATCGTAATCCGGAGCTTCCTTACCCCCGCCGTCCTGAAACTCATAATCTTCGCCCCTCCACATGTTTAATCACACTGCCACTTCTCGAAATCTATTCTGTTGGAGAATCAGGGGAAAACCCTTACCGAAATGGCCGTCGAACTTGGAAAACCCAAGAACCCTAACTCGCAAAAACCCCAATTAAACTTATTCACCCCCTGATTACCCCACCTCCACTTGATTCGAAGCCTTTTACAATCAACACATATTGTTCTCACCACTAATTTCAAACTACAAGATTGTTTTCTGAAATCCTAATCTTCCCCCCTTGAAAACTTCGTCGCTCCTGTTTTTTTTAATCTCTCCCCGATGAAAATAACAAGGAAAAAAAAAATACAAGTTGCTATCTTTTACTCTTGGTTTTGTCTTTTATATTTCTTTTATCTCTCCCCCCTTGGGTTTATTTATTTTCTTTTTTTTTTGTTTTGTAGGTTTGAGCCCAAGTCAAAGTTCCTCAACTATGAAAAAAACCTTGGCCCAAGTCTGATTGCCAATGGCAGGAAACATTGGGCGGGAAAGTTGGGTTGGAGAGGTTGGTCCACAAAAAAAAATCCTGGAATAAATTAATTATTAAAAATAATATTTTAATAATTTTAATAAATACTTTTTTAAAAAATTTAAATTTCAAAATAATTTCCCGCCTAAATGAGAATGGCGGGAGACTTTGGGCGGGGAAAGGTTTAAGCACGTGCATGTCAGATGACCACAATGGACTGGTCAATATTGTTAAAAGACAGAAATATCCTTCAGGCAATCCACGCTTCCTCCACGTGCGTTAGGCGTTGACCATTACTTTTTGCGTTGAAATTTAACAGATGTCCAAAAAGTGACATTATTCTGGTGGCTTACGGTCTATTTTTAAATATTTGGTATCAAATAAAGACAAAGTGCAACTTTTTGGTACTTTTGCTGTAATTAATTAATAAATATATCATAAAATTTGGCATTCAAAGTTCTTATTTACAACCAAACTGCTTTATTACAAACATTTTCTATTTGTCACCAACTAACTAAATTATTGCCTTGTCACTTTCTACTTCTTGTTCAAAAGACCGTACCTCCTCTTCGGCCATTTTGAGATTGTCAAATACATTACCAAAAGAAGTCTTATTCCACTCTTTTAGAGCAGCCTTCAATCTGTGCAACTTCCTTGAAAAAGCATGCATTCCATACCCAAACAATAGGCTGCTCCCAATTGATGCGAACCAACTCAAAAAAATCTGGCCGGTTGAGCCACATATGCTGAAATCTAAACATTTCACGCTTGCTCACCACCTCAGCTGAAAAAGTATACAAGATCGGGCAATGATTAGAAGGTGTCTTATTAAGATTCTGAATAGAAGAAACTGGAAAAGCCTCAAGCCACTTTTCAAAAAATAAAACACGATCAAGTTTCTTGCTTATCCAACCAGATTGTCTTGTTCCTCCCTAGGTAAACTCCTTCATTAAAGATGGCAACTCTGAGAGATTACATGCTTCAACTCTGTCTTGGACCGAAAACCCCGAATATTCATCCAATGAACGTATCACATTAAAATCTCCTCCCGCCATCCATATCTCTCCTTGATGCGCTTGATAGAAAGAATGAAGATCATCCCATAATTGTCGACGCCCAATCTTAGTAGACTTGGCATAGACAGCGGACAAGTAGAATTTATTAAACAAATTCAAATGAGAAATCTCCAAGTGCATGACCTGCATTTTATTCTTCAACACTCTAGATGAGAAACCATTTTTACTGAAACGCCAAATTTTATTAGTAAAAGAAGAGAAAGCAACTTCAAAATTCAACATAACCCCAATTTCATCAATCTTATGAGCATCCACCATAGGTTCTAACACAATCAAAAGATCAATTGAATGCATCCGAACCAAGGACTTCAAACGTTATTGAGCAGCGTTGTTACTAATTCCTCTAATATTCAAAATCAATTGATTTATCATCATTAAAAAAAGAGGGAAAAATTTTACGGTACTGCACGGAACGCCTTAGAACAAGGCCTTCTTGCATACTCAAACGCTCCTTTTGCGTCTTACGACCTCACCTTTGCTTAACGGTCACAAAACCCTGGCTCATTTCATCCAATTGCGGATCTTCCATCTCCCCTTCAGACCACCTACCCTCTGTGTCCGCCTCTTCCACCTCCTTTCCTCTTTTACGCGCAAAATTTTTTTCATCCAAAGCATAGTGCATTAGTTCCGGAGCCGTACTCCCGACAGAAGTATTTGCCAAAATAGCTTCGCGTTCTTCATCAAAACTATCATTAGAACTATCATTAATGTCCACCTGATTGACTGTATCAGATAGAAGCCCAAACTGATTTCCAGAAAGTCGCGTGACAGGATCACCTTGCAACTCATTTTCGGCAACCACAATCAAAGGCTTATCAGTCCCTGCACTTACCACATCCGAAATCTCTTTCCCAGTATCAAGCTGAGATCCAAAAGTCTCCATGACATCAACTGGTATCACCGCCTTTTCAGAAGCTGTGAGTCCAGAAGAAGTCGCATTCCCCGGGTCTAGGGTTTGTGCAGCATGCGAACAAACTTCCGCAGCCTGCGTGCATCCGGCATCTAGGGTTTGCGCAACCTCCTCCGCAGCAAGTTGCGTCTCCACATTTTCCTTTCCAAATGGTAAAGCCCTAACAATTAAGGGATTTGATTGTAAAATCTCAACGTCCACACTAGAGACATCTTCGTGAATCAATCCACCCTGTCCAGATTCCACACTTGTTGGCTTTTCTGGCTTCCATTTCGGGATTGGCTTAGGCATCACAAAATTAAACTTCTTTGATTTCTGTGTTCCCTCCATGTTCCGCTTTGAAATTTTTTACTTCTCCTTGTGATAGCAATCTCATAGATGAAACAAATTTCGTTAATGCGACCATCAAACAAGAAAGTACGAAGATAATTTGTCTATCCCGTGAAACTCAAAAGAGTGCGGAAAATTTATAGTAAGACCATCATTTATCTAAGGATTTCTATCTCTTAACTCAATCAAGCAAAGAACACATTATCTATGAAAGATTTGAATTAAACAACAAAACACACTAAGAATGGTAAGGAGACCATTCAATATACTCGATCAGTCATCATTCAAGAGACTCAAGAAAGGTAGGAGCAAACAATGCTCAACTATGAAGGAATACTATTGATTAGTAATCTCCATAACCAACAAAGATATGCAACACATACACTATCTCAAAATGCTTATGCCAAAGCACAACTCATCCAACAAAAGTAGGACAAACTCCACAATGGAACTCATGAACACACACATCATGAATTCGAAAACCAAGCCAAAAGAAAGGCTCATCAATCGAACTACTAGAAGTAGAATGAAAATAAGATGTTTAGTTTTAAAAAAATTCTATCAAGAAGCATACTTGAAAAAGAACGGTTTCTGCAAGATCAAAAGATCCAAGACAAGATGAAAACCCTCTTGGTTAAATCATACTTGACACGAAAATTGGACACATCATTTAACAAAAATTCCTCACAGGAAAGACTCAAAATGACCACACATGGGTGCTTTAATTTTCGGCCAAACACCAAAAAAAGAAGACCAACTAGGACTCTCTAATCTTATCTCACGTAGGAGTAGAAGTAGAAGAGTATTTGGTCTCTTTGACTCTATCTAAAATCTAGGAAACCTTATCTAAATGACTTATCCTCAAATAGGATAATACTTAGAAGGAATCTAAGACTCCTAATCAAAACACTCTAGTTTAATTCATCCTACATGACTTATTTAACTAGATAAATTCGAAAATAAACTCCAAGACTAGATAATACTCTAAATCTCGAAAATCAGCTCCAAATATTGAAGTAAAATGTCTTGAACGCCCTTCCAAAAGTGGAATATTGGTCTTGAGCCCCTTAAGTTGTAAATAACTCTAATTTACTCCAAAACTTATAGAATTCTCTTTATTGACTCCAAAAGGTTGGAAAAACACTTGAAACAATTGAGATAGTTTGCAACCTATCCAATTGTGTAGCAATGGACTCAATCTTGAACACTTTGATCAAATAGGCCATCCATTCATGAACCTAAATGATTCTTCTCTCTAGCTTGATCAATGATCTTCATGAAGCACCTAGAGGAAAACTCCTTTGATACTCTTGAGCACTTATTTCCATGAGTGAATCATCTCCTTTGGTTTGAACCCCAAAGTTAATGACATTCTCATCACCTTGATCATAGCTCTCTTGAACCAACTCTCTATCACATAGGTAGTCAAGATCCATCCTTTCTTCCATGATTAGCCTGCAAAGTAAACTTGGCATTCCAAAATAGAATGAAGGACTAGCTCATTCCCCTCACTAGGAGAATCACCATGAATGGCTACATGATTCTCATCACGCGCATCACATCATTCAAGCCGATTGCAGATTTGGATTTTTCTTCTTGCATTCCTCGATCTTATGACCTATCTTACAACAATTATGGCAATAAGAGGGCACAAATTCATATGAGAAAATCTGCTCATACTTCCTTCCTTTCGTCCCAATTCGAATGGACTTAGGGAGCTCCTTGGTCAAGTCTACCTCCACAAAAACAGGCCACTGAGGGTCGCGTTAAATTGAGCGTAGGGGCATTGACTCGCAAAGGATTACCAACTGCCAAAGCAATTGAATACAACACCTTTGGATGTGTTTATTCTAGCGGCAACTCATGTAGTGAAACCCATATCATGACTATCGGGGGATCTTCTTCAAATTTGAAACCCGGTCACCACTTCAAGATCCTCATTTGGTAGCCACTAATACTCCAAAGAGAAGCAATTCAGCAGCGGTGATAGTCTTCTTCCAATTCAAATCGAATGAGGACATGGCGAGGGTTCATAAGGACAAGAAAGTAAGAGCCTTTAAACCCTAATTTTTGAAATTCATCCCTAAGTGTCTCCATCTTAGGCCGTCCATATGAGAACTTCCTAACGAGACTCATCTTGTGCGGTGCAATGAGCTCCTCGAACTCATCATCATCAAACTCCAATTCGGGCATACCATTGAAGAAAGTGACTTGTTTGAAGTCATGTAATTTCGGAGCTACGGTAGGGTTTTCCATGGGAATTTTGGTTTCCATTGGCTTGTTAAAAAGACTTGAAAAGGATCGACTAGATCCAGTGGGGATCGTCGATGAGAGGCTGACCATATTGGCCAGAGAACAGTCAACAATGCTAGGGTTCTTTGGCCGGCGAGAGAGAGAGAGAGAGAGAGAGAGAGAGAGAGAGAGAGAGAGAGAGAGAGAGAGAGAGAGAGAGAGAGAGAGAGAGAAGTAGTTGTCCCACATTCAGACCCACTTCATTAACTCAAACAATGTGATTTTAGTTATCAAAGGCACTTAATTTATAAGTGCTTAAGTAGTTCAACACTTAATTCATTAAAACCTTTCAATGGTGATTACCAAACACAATTAATTTTATTTAGTAATTGAACGGATTAACTGGAAGGTGATATATGTATTAATAACCTGACTGGAAGGTGAATTGGTAAGTTGGTCAGGTCATGGGGCGACCAGTTCGGCCGAATTGCTCAGTCATTGAAACCAGTGAAAACTTTAAAAATATTATAAATGTTTAATGTAGATTTCTAAAATATTCAAGAGTTATACAAGGATCTAATATTTATAGAGATAGTATTAGCTTGCGCTTATCCATGTATTTATTAGTTTATTCTTATCTTTGTATCTAGTTTGTATATCTAAGGAGATCAAACTTTGTGAATTAATATACTGATCAATTCTTTATCTATCTAACTATTCTCTCCCTACTTGTTCTTTCTCTACAATTGCATATCTTTATTCTTTGGGTTTATTTTATAATACGTTATCAACACGAGTCTCTAGCCAATTGAGAAAGCAATACTATATACCATTGACATGAATCATTCTGTTTAATCCTACCTAGGCTGAAGAAGTATATACCACACATGTTTATGGTGTTTATGAAGAAAGAGGTATGCTTCTACCCATTTTGTGAATTATATAGTAATGATCACTTAACATCTCGCATGTGTTTTGATTTTCTATTAATATGTGAATAGATAGCCGCCTAATCATGTAAAAAGTGTATGATAATGCTTGTACTTCTAATCTACATGGTTAATTCATATTTGTCCTATTGATTGCGTGTGGTAGTTTAATATGTGCAATTCTGAATTATAGAGTTATTATGTTAAAACTAAAATTCAAGGATGATTTTATTAAATAAACTGTTATTCTATTAATTGGTGAGATGCATAAAGTTATTGTTGTTGCAAAGAAAAGTTTTTCCTGATTTTAAGTGACTAGTTGGTATATTCAATTGCATCCACATATTTTCATATCTACAAGTCTAACATGAAATTGCTCCTTGAGTAGCAGCTTATATGGTTTTTTTGTGAAACATACTTTTATGGTTTTCCTAAAGAAAATCATGATACCCTTGATTTGGTAGTCTACATTTCCTGAAATAAACGGGCAATTACCTAATTTTATGAGTGAATTTGTTGACAATGAATTTACTGTAAAAATATGATAGTCATAAATAAAATATAATTTTTCACTCAAAAGACAAAGAAAATTTAAAAATTGTTCCTGCGGCAGCAATTTATTTTCCTGTTAGTATTAAAAAAAATATTGAGTTTTTGTTGAAAAGTTATTAGGCTTGTTTCAAATGGTTGTTTACTGCTTTTCTTGAAGCAAATGTGATAACCCAAATTGTTACGAATTACTATAAGTGATAAATTTTAACGAAATAAAGGTAACCACAAGAAGTTGAGAACTTGCAGAGAGCAAAAAGGTAAAACATAGCAAGTACTATTGTTATGCATAAAAGATCACTGATCTCTTACCTACTTTGTACAAAGAACAAACTGTTACTCTCTATCCAAAATGGAGAACATGTTCATGATAAATACAATGTCGATGATACTATTATGGATGCTTTTGATAATAACCCTAAAGGTGATGTCACTTCTAAGTTACTTGGTTCATAAAAAAAACATTTAAAGTAGCATTGTTTTATATTTTAAATGAGAAATTTCTTTATTATATGCGTTATGGGGTATTTTAATATTTCTTGTGATTTTATGAATTTAGAAAATGTTGTAATTATTTTGTTAGAACAAAATTAATTAAATGCTTTTGAATTTTTCCATAAAATTGGACAAAAAAAACTCCAGAAGAGCAGAATTCGATATGCCTGCGTAGAACAACTTGAATGCTTTCTAGCTACAAGGAACATGTAATTGAATTTCTTCATAAAGTTAGTTGAAATTTCCAGTAGAGCATCATTCATCGAATATCTCAAATAGATTATAGAGTGTTCCCATAGAGTAAGAACACTTTGGTCGAATGCATATAACACTGAATAGACAAATTTTGAATTGCATAAACAAACACTCTTGTTGAGTAAGACAATTTCGTTAGAGGAAACGTGCCTCTAAAGGAGAGTTTATCAGACAAAGTTGTATAATTAATTTAATGTTGTCTTCATAAGAGTACTTGTAAATTTTGCCCCTGAAGAGTAAACAAAATATGGTTTTTTTTATCAAAGGTAAATTGTGTTACATGAACGCACAACTGTGCAAGCCTACTATCTTTGCTATTACTTTCAATTTTTATAAAATAACACGAAGTTATTCTTAAAATCAAATATCATCATTACTCCTTTTTTTTTTATGATTATATTGAATCTTCCATATAACCTGCATTTTGATGCTTTTAAATGTGTCAATTGCTTCCATTTTCTGACGCATGAATTTCCTACCATTTCTCTCAAAGCAAAGGTGATTGACGAAGTTGAAATCTGCACGGTACTTTAGGACGAC